TAGGATCTAGAAACCTTGGTAAGACACACAGTCCCTGTGGTCCCATTTTGGGGAGACTGCTGTTCCTCTCCAGACTCCTGCCTGCTGCCCTGCTCCAGCTTCTCTCCTTACTGTATAGTGAGCAAGGCTCAGAAAATGTGCATGGAGCTTTTCTGTGTAGAAGACTTTTTTTTTTTTTTTTTTAAGTAATCAGAATTTATCCCCAGCCCGTGCGAGGGAGAGAACTGTTTTTGAAATTTCACATCATCTTTGGGATTTCAGAGGAAGTTCTGGTTCTTATGTGGGCTGCTGCTGCAATGGAGGTGGGCATGATGGGGGGGTGTTGCACAACAGGGAAGTGCTTAACGTTCAGGGAAGCCCTGCCCAGGGGACGGAAGGGGGAGAGCCAATCCTGTACTTTGTGGAGCACTCTGTGCTGGTGAGCTAGGTGCCCCGCCAAGGCCACCCACATTTCTGTGGAGAACCATAAGGTGGATGCCGAAGAAGTGGGTGCAGGTCCTGCAGCTCTGCTGAGTCTTGAAGCGCAATGGTTTCTGTGGAGCATGTAAGGATCAGACTGTGCCCTGTCCGGCTTGGCCTTGTAGGTTGACTCTTGGAACAGAAAGGAAACCTCAATAATGCAATATGGAACATTTTGATTAATGATATTGAGAGCAATGTGTGAGTGTTGGTAACCTTGCCATCCTGAATACATGCATATTTGAAAAATTTTGATTGATACATGGTTGTGTATTCTCAGGCAAAGGTTGATTTACTGAAATTGTGTGTGTTTGTGATTTATTTTAATAACCTAAAGAGAAATAATGTTTGAAAATTAAAAGCTGTTACTTAACAACTCATCAGGTCCATGTAATTGCAAAAGCTGTTGTGTTATGTTTACACAATGAACACAGTGAATTCTTTACCAAAGGTTTTTTTTGTTGCTGTTGTTAAATTACATTATAAGAAGATTTCTGTTTCTTTCAGTGAAGAGAGAACCAAAATTAAACTCAGGAGGTGCTTTCTGCTGCTATTGTCAAGTTTTACAGCTGCTTATGTGCATGATTCACTCAAGGAATAAATGACTCTTCAGCCAAAATTCTCAGGGGGAATATACTACACTACAGTAGTACTACATTTTGAAATGCATTTAGGTGGTTGAGCCATTCCTGGTAGTGCTATCTGTTTTTTTTTGTTAGTCAGTGAATTGCAGCCACTTGGCAGTACTGGAGCCTTAAATGGATCATTGAAAATTACATTTTAAACTGAGTTCCCCTGACTTGTAGTGTTGGCCAATGGCCCAGTCTGAAATCTGTAAAGTTTCTGCTGTCTGGAAGCTTAGAGAACGTTTGAGCAGCTGTATTAAGGACCCTAAAGCATTGGAAATAGTATCTTAAATTGACTGAACCAGTGAAATTTCTGGACCAGTGAAAGCTGAGGTAGAGTTACAGGTCATAGGTAGTTTCAGCTTGAAGAAATGTTGTCTGTCTTCTAAAGATTTTGACCCAATGCAAAACGTACCCGAAATGGGCAAAGTGAAGTTTGCCTGCACATGACTAGTTTCCAATGCCTGGGAATGTAGAGCTTTGTGGCACCAGCAAAAATAAAGCCAGTGCAGAGAAGGTTATTCACAGCCCTGCATTCAAGTAATTTTTCTTTGTTTTTCAGGTCTCAGAAACTGAAAGGCTTTCATATGTGGGGAATAACTTTGGCAGTGGAATTATGAAGTGTAACTCTCTGTGCAGGTATGGGTTGCTGGCAAAATGAGGGAAGGAATGTGGAAGTGGAACCAGAGGAATTCCTCAGGCACAAAGGTCCTGGCAGCCTTTTTTAAAGCTGGCTCAGAGGTTCCCATGGAGGCTGTAATTTGAATCAAGAGGGTTTTGACAGGACACTCCAGCGCCTGGCAGCTGCATTGTTTGTGCATGCTATGTCTTACGTCTGTTTTGAAGTTGTGATGTTACATACAAATAGAGTATATTTGAAAAGGTCTGTGAAGGAAAGGGTGAGGAGATGGTTTGATGTAGCTGAAAATTAGGAATAACAGCTTTGTTATTAAGAAATCATTAAGACTTCATCTGCTGCCCAGGAAACCCCTGGGTCATTAATCACCATTTAACTTCAGGGCCACAGCATGACGCTGCTGTGTGAACTAATAAGCTGTCAGTGCCACGTACTGTAAAAGGAAGTGTTGGTCAAATCACCAGCCTTTACATGTCCTGGTTTAAGAATGGGACCTTTGCGGCACTGGGGCAGATCTCACAGCCTCCTAAGAAGTATGCTGTATGTGAGATCTTTATCGTTCTCTAATAGACGAACCACCAAATGGCTGGAGAGCGAAAGTGAAATAATCTTGCCTTGTAATGATCTTCAGTACTCAAAGTGTTTCTTTTCTCCTTTGTGTATTACTGCTCCTACTAGCCTACAGAACACTGAAATGCATGTAATGTTCATGTCAGGTTCTTGGTACCTAATGCCCTGCTCTGTAGATCTACTCCAGTTGCCCCACACTTCGCTCACATAGCTCATCTCTTCTCTAGTTGGACTGCACTGACCTGATCGTGTCTGAGTAGTTAAAGTACAGGTGGGGTGAGGGACTGAACAACAGAGTTGTGTAAAACTGTTAGAAAGAGGAGGTGCTTTCAGATATTAGTGCCCTAGTGGTCCTATGTTCTGAATAAGATTTGAAATGCATTTGTTTACGGAGAGGGTGGTCAAACGCTGGAACAGGCTTCCTAAAGAGGTGGTCGATGCCACAAGCCTGTCAGTGTTTAAGAGGTATTTGGACAATGCCCTTAACATCCTTTAACTTTTGTTCAGCCCTGAATTGGTCAGGCAGTTGGACTAGATGGTGGTTGTGGGTCTCTTCCAACTGAAATATTCTATTCTGTAATTCTGTAAAAGGAACTCACGTTTGCAAGTAGTCCATCAAAACATGCTAATATTAATCTTTGTTCTCTCTGAGAAGTGAAACAAGGAGAGTTGGATCTTTAGATGTAACAGTCTTCGGTTTAAGATGCTGTAGCTGAAAAAAGGCACCAGGAGGCTTTTTCTTCTCAAGTTTTGAGAGATAAATTTAGTTTAGTGAATATGTATGATACAGGTATTAATGGAGTATTATTTCTAGGCAGATTTAGCGCTCTTATCTCTGAATACTGATTAAGAGATGGCTTTAGTGGCTTAAGTGGTTCTTGCCTGCACCTCTGGTGATCCTGAGCTGTGGAAACTAACAAGGCAAGCTAACTGCTGAGATATGTTTATCTTCAAGTATTAGTTTTGCATTAGGTATGCATATGCCTCAGGATCTCCAGAGATGCAGACAAGAATCAATTAAGTAATTTCTTGCTTTTCTTTCAAGTTTTCACACCCCATCTTTCTGTCCCTTTCCTTCCACATCTGCTTCAGCTGCATGCATGAGGATTTCCTACAGTGGATCCATCCCATAGCTCTTGGCAGCTGTCAGCCTAAAACTGTGCACTCACAACTGATAATGTGGGTATAACAGGGAGTGGAAACCGCCTCTGACCAAGCCTGGGTGGAAAGTCAATGAGTCCACCAAACCTCTGGGTTTCCTGGGATAGCAGGAATTGCCCAGAGGTCCTTTCTGACCAGCAAGGTGCTGTGATTCCCACTATACTTGGGCAGCTCCTCTGAGAGCAGTTGCATGGAGAATATTGCTCCCACTGCAACAGGCAGCCTGTTGTGCAAGTAGGTTTTGTCTTCAGAAAGTGTGTCCTGAGTTTTAGGAAGATGTGTTATGGAACAGAGCAAGTTCAGGCTCCAGTCAGAAGGGATCACATGGAATGAACTCTTCTGTCTGGATAAGAAACTGGTGCAGTTGATACCCTGATCAGCTTCAGCCAAGGGTAACATACAGGCTGTTCTTGGTGGCTCATGAGACATGGTGAGGCACAGCACAAACCATTTGGGCTTGCCCTTGTGAAATGTGGGATGAAAAGGAATTATGTGAGAGAAATTGCCCTATTTTAAAGATGGCAAAGTCACGTTTCTGAGAAGCCTTGAGAACTTAAAGTGACTTGTACTAAGCAGAGAACCGGCCACAGGGAACCCAAGTTTTAAAAACACAGGAAATTTCATAGAAGCACTGAGAAACACATCAAAAAAGAAAAGAGAGAGTAGCAGCCAGCACTCTAGCACCTATACTTCATCTGTGCATTTTGGAGCTAATTTAGTTGTCTTAAGACTTCTACATTTACTTAGAGCAACAGTATTTATACATACTCACACACATGTGTATGTGCATACCTTGGAGGTAATTTGTTTTATTGTGACATTCTGAATGTGCTTGGAAAAGTTGTATTTGCAAGGCAGAAGAATTGGCAGGGAATGGAGAATACACACGGCTCTGCACCATGCATTTTAAAACATCACTTCCACTGGACTATCTCGCATTAATCACTTGCCCCTGTTCTTCCTAGGTATTTTGTTGGTGTGTTAGACAAGGACTCTGGGCAAATGGAAGTCTATAATGCTGAAATATTCAACATGCAGCCCTTGCTGTCAGGTAGGAAGATACTGTGTTTAACCCCAGCACCAAAATCACAGCATGGTAAACCTGTGTATACATTCAGCTATTGACTACCTGGTTGCTGACAGCAGTGCGCTCTGTTGTCTGTCTGGCTGCTCATTCTTCCTCGTTTCTGCCTCATTCCCTCAGCATGAAGGAAGGATGATACATTAGCTTTCCTTCTAAGGCACTGCATGATGTGAAAAGCAGAGGGAGAAGGAAGCAAACAGAAATCTAGGGTGGAGGTTAAGCAGAGAGTGTTACAGCTGGTGGGTGGAAATGCTGGAGTCAGTAACAAAGTTGTCACTGTTCAAAGTGCAGCCTTGTCTAGATATGCTCTGCTGAGGTAAGCCTAGAAATTGCCAGGTCAAGGGACTGTATCACTGAAAAATAAAACAGCTTTTCTCCAGCAGAACTACTTTTTGTTACTGGACCCAGGAGGATGACCCAAGGAATTTGGTCTTCTGGGAGCTTATTTTTCACCTGTGCAGCAGAACCTGGCTATTGCTGCAATCCATGCATTATGCTCATGGGCTTTATAGCAAAAATTGGCCTGCCTTTCCCTTTTTGTGCTAGGTACATACTCTCATATTCAGTGTGTTCTTTAATTTACAAAGTCCTGTGGAGGAGATCTTGAAGTGATGTGCCAATGGCATCTTTCAGTAATGGATTAGCACTAAAGGGATACTGAATAATGCGTGCTGTCCTGGCTTCTGCAAGCTGAGCATACTGACTTCTGTTTTCTTATAGATAACTTGATACCTGATGACACGAAGGATTATCAGACTAAATCGTACAGGGAGAAGGTAAAGTTGAAACCCCATATCATATTCTATTGTGATTATCCAACTAACAGTGGCAGATGATACTTGTCTGAGCCTGTGATGTTTGGTTTAGTGCCGGGTAAACCTGCGCAAGTTCAGCACTCTCTCTGTGCCTTGGAGATCTATGAGACACCACATTATTAGTGCCTAATTTGGCAGTATTTTCATAATTATTTTAGGCTTAATTACAATTCCAGTTACTTCCTTCCCCCTTGCAGATCAGTGCTTGTTGCATGGTTGGGTTGTGCCCAGTGAAATGCTTGAAGTTTTCTTAGAGAATGTGAATATGGAACAAGTGGTGGTTAGCTGAGATTTCCTCTTAGGTACAAAGTGTCTTCAGTTCAGCAGTGTGTTTTAATTCGCATCTCTCTTGCACAGATGGATTTGTGCATTGAGGCCTTTGGTACCAGCAAGCAGAAGCGAGCTCTGAATTCTCGGCGAATGAATGCAGTGGGCAATGATATTCTGAATACAGCTGTGACAAAAGCAGCAGCAAACATTATAGATGCAAAGGGAGTAACAGGTAAGAATATTGTCTCAGGGTTTAATGAAGGCAAGCAGAAGTGCCTTTTTCTGTTTGTTCCTTGCCAAGTATGGTAGAAAGAATAAAGGGGTTTTCTTTGAGTGACCAAGGAAGCAGCTAGTCTAATAGCTGAGAAGGCACATGTGGAGAAAACTCACCGATCTTCCTGGTGGAAAAGGAACTGTTTCCTTATAATTCTGCTAGACTTAGTGTGGGAGTTGCCTGAATAAGGGAAGGTCCCTGTGGTATCAGTGTCTGTCCCTGCCCATTGTTGGGAGCTCTTCCAGGAGTCCCTGGATATCAATTTACTGGAATAAAGGCAGTACATTCACCTGGTCTGAACTGAGATGCTGAATGGAAGAAGGAAGGTGGAGAAGTGACAGAGGAGTCATGGCAGGGCAAGAAGAATAGGCAGGGCCCTGAAGCACACAACTGACAGGAGAGGGAGAGGGAGCTGGGCTTGGTTAGTCTAGCAAAGAGGAGGCCAAGGGGTATGCAGCAGCCCACGACTACTTCAAGGGCACTCGGAGCCAAACCCTTGTCAGCAGTGCCAGCAAGGGTCAATAGCACAAGTTGCAGTGTTCCCTGGACCTTGGAAGTCCACATGAGAGACTGGGGGAACCTTCTTTCCTTGGAAGGTGGTGCAGCTGTGGAACAGGTCACACAGAGGTGTGGAGTCACCGTCCTTGGGGGTTTCCAAGCTTTGACAAGACAAAGCCTGGGCTGGCCTGATCTGGTGCTGTAGACAGTCCTCCTCAGAGCAGGAGGTTGGCCGAGAGACCTCCAAAGCTCCTTTCTACCAGCACTTCTGGGATTCTGAGTTTCATTGGCTGTGAATGGGAGAGATGACTGTTGACTATAGAACCCATCAGCTCTCATCCCTTCTGTTCCAGATTGGATATTGACTGTGGTCTCAGAGCTGCTTTGTGCCAAATGGTGTCCAGTGGAACCCAGGGTGCCAAAACCATATTCTGCCCACCCTGCAGGCAAGAGGTGCAGCAGCAGCACCGAGTTTGTCTTGGTGCACTTATTTCCTAGATTATTCTGTAGTCTGGAGTGGCTTTTCTAAATTTTAAGGAGCAGAAGGTTCTTCGTAGAAGTGATGACACCAGTCTAAAACCCAGCATGCTGAATACATAACAAGTGTATCAGAAGTTCTTCGCCTTTCTGTGCTTACTGGAATGCTCTCTACAGTCAGCACCTACAGGTGGCAGTAATGAAACAAAATAAGGAAAAGGCAACAGGTCTTCCCTGCTACTGTCCCAAGTGAGATAAACTGGAGTTTTAAACCTTTAAAACTCCAGCTGTGACTAAACTGGTTTTGACCCAAGAACCACCATTGAATAGACTTGTGTTTAAAGGAAGGATCTGGGTTGTGGTCATGTTATCTGTAATTTTGTTTGCATGGTCCAAACACTCTCTTCTTTCCTGCTTCCCTCCAAAGCATTGATCCAGGATGTGGCCCAAGATGATGTGCAGAACATCTCAATCTTCCTCCCACCATGTAACGAAGATGCTGACAAACCAGAAAACGTTTACAAATTTGAGGACAGTATCTTTTTCTGTGTCAGAGTCATTTCCCACACCTGTAAGCCTCAATGTCCATGGTCTGGCATATGGGAGTGAGTGCTGCCAGGTGTATGAATGAGCTGAGCCTTCTCCCCTCACAAGCCAAAAACTGACAGCAGGGACATGCTGTGTTGAGATTTTTGGGCCTGCAAGTCCAATATCCTGCCTCTTTCCTTCAGAGAGCAGGATGCTATGTCTCCCTGTTGGCAGCAGTTTGGGAACAGTAATGAGGTCAGCCATGCAGGAGTGGTGACTTGTGGTTGAGCCACAGTCGTTTAGAGACCCTTGTTATTGGTCAGCTTCCAAGTGTTGTCATTATGTCCTGCCTATTTATAATTTCCTTCCCTCCTTCCCTGCCCTACACCTCCTAAAGTGAGAGTGGGTAGAGCTTATCTCACTGTAGGCTGTTCAGAAGGGACAGCAAAGGCACACTTGTTCTTTTCTTTAAAATCCTTCCAGTTCTGTCCCCAGCAGAGTATGAAGCATTGCGGGTTCCAGCAGCAGTCTTTGTTAACATCACTCCAGAAGAAATCACCAAGAAAACAGAAGATAAAAGGTATTGCTGCTGCAAACAGCGTTGTAATAGTTGTGGTGGGCCCTATGAAACTGTAGTTTTTCTGTGGGGTAGAATGGCTACTGCTGCCAGTTCTGCTGTACCCAAGCTGATGTTTTCAGTGCAGCGGGAGGACGTTTGATCCAAGCATGTCTGAGCAACAAGTACCTGGGGGAATGTGGGGTGTAGTTACATACAGGTGAGGAAGCTGTACGCACAGTAGCGTGGCTGCCCTTTGGGCAACTGATTGCAGAGGAGGAGAGTGGAGAAATCCCAAGTGAGGTCTGAATGCAGGTGCCTAGAAGATGGACCACAGAACTGTGCTGAGCATGATACGCCCATGGCTGGGCACTGTCCCAGCCAAGTACTGACTTGCTATGGAGGTTGCTGTGGCTTGGCAAGCTGACATGGATGTACACGTAGAGCTCTTAAGCCCTTGTGCTGAGAGGCTGAAGTGAGCAGGGAAAGCACAAACCGCACCTCACTCCTTGTGCTTCCTGCCTGCCTGCCTTTGCCAAAGTAGAAGTGTGTTTGTGTGCCATGTTGAGAGCCTGCAGTTTCTGCAGTGCAGGGACCTTTTTAGTAGCTGCACACTAAAAGGGGCTGGCTGAATGTAGTGAACATTGACAGGAAAGTGCTCACAAAACAGCCTCCCAGGCTATGCTTTATAGGTGCCCAGGGAACTCTTCCCAAACAGCTGAGCATTGAAGTTACAGACGTGTCCCGTCCTCCTGACAATGTAAACTGGTTTCTGGTTCTTTGAGCATCATCTTCCCCCTCTATCTCTTTCAGCCATTGCTCCTTTGTTTTAGAGAAGCTGAAGTTCCTGCCTACTGATGAGAACAGCAGAGATTACAAGGCCCGATGCCTCTGGTTCCTGGACACCCTTATTAAGTTCAGCTACCTGAAAGTGATCAAGAAGAAGCGTAAGAGAGTTTTCAGCTCCTCCACTTATAAGCTGCCTGCTGAGACTTGGTTTGTAATTCCTGCAGTAGGAAACAGTAAAGCTGCCCAGAATGAGCTGTGTGATGAAAGAGCTAGCTGCAGTGGTTGCTTTCAGCCTGTTTCATGCTGAGGTTGAGGATGTCCATGTTGTTGAGGGTTGTTAGATCTATGTCTGCTCGGAGATGTATGTCTAATCCTTTTCAGTCCCTTTGTAACTGCAGTGCATCAGGATGGCACCATGAGAACCTTTTGGCAGGAGACAGGGTAGCTTGGATTGGAAATTTTGAGATTCTTTCTCAAATTTGTTGATAGTTCTGTACTTATAAACATGTTTTATATTTTTACACTTCAGTTCTAAGTGAAGAGGCTGGAAATTGTTGGCTCTCTCCCTCATCCAGCCTCCATATTCCAGGTGCAAGATGCATATAGTACACAGAATATCTTTTGTATCTCTTTTTGTGCTTTTGAGAATGTCCTCATAATCCTTTGCTTATTAGCTCCATGTGTGGATCACAGTGATCATACCTCTGTTGTATTCAGGATCTTGCTTTTAAAATGGCAGGAACTGCTGTTCTCAAAAGCAGTGCACAAAATATTTTGGTTGAGATTTTCAAGGCTTGCCATCTTCCATAGAACTTGTGTATCTGAGTTTCCTTGTCAGTGCTGAAAATGTCATTGTTAGCATTTTCAATGGCAGGGGGGCAATGGAGGAGGAAATGGCAAGCCTGGCTGTAAATATTCTCCTGCATTGCTGGAGGCACAGGATTCACCCTGTAGGACTTAGTCAAGGAGGATGTGGAAATGACTAGTCTTGGTCCTAGCAGGAATTAATTAGTGTGGTTTCTGTTTTAATAATATTTTGTGACAGGACCATCTATTAAAAGACAGGAATCTATTGAAAGAAATGTATGCATAGGTGCACATGCATGCATTTTAGATTGAGTAGTATTGAAGTGGGAGATCCCATTTGAATAAAAAAGTGAAAACTGTTAGGAGCCTCTCTGACCTGAAAAATTATGAGACCTAGAAATCAAGTGCCCAGGTTCCTTTTAGGTTCTCTATGTTTCTGGGAAGGGGGGATAAATGTTGTGGTAATAAATGTGCTATTATGATGGCTGGAGATGGGCAATACAAGAAAGAGTATGTGTTTCTCATTCCAGTGCAAAACCCCTTTCTGTCCTAGATCCTATGGGTCCTGAATGCCCACACATAATTAGCAGGAAACTCATGAAGGATTTCACTTCACTGACCTACAACAATGGCAGGTAAGGAGCGATGTTTGCTTTGATGTTTTTGAGGCAGAGATATGGCAGAGTTCAGGCTGAAGGGCCATGGACACATTATCAGGAAACCTCCTACCAAAATGGAAGATAGCAGTAGCTTCTCTTGCTTCACACTCACAGCCCTGCAGAACATTGGGTTGTGGTTGGTAATAGTCCATTTTAGACAGTGCAGGTCTAAAATGTGACTGGGATAAGGAAGCCTGCACCTGTGGATTTAGCTAGTGTGACCAAATGGGGTGCCGAGCTATCTGCCTGACCATTTCTGGGTGCAGGATGGCAGAATGGGTGCTTGCTTTGCTGACTCTTAACTGTGCAGTTAAACAGGCAGCTGTGCACACATACATTTTCACTGTGAATCAAGGCAGCTGACAGATGTGTCAGCTCTTCCACCATACCAGAGTGAGTCAGGACAGAAGTAGTGCAGTGGCTAAATAACAGTGCTTTTTTTATGTTCACATAGTTTAATTAGCATAACAGGGGTGCTTTTACATGAACCTAGGCATGACTTATTTAGATTCTCCATTGAAAACTACAGAGACAAAACTGTATAAAGATTTGCGCTGGTTAACTTGCCCAGGGCTGAGACCCACACTGCTGCACCCATGTGGATACAGGCCAAAGAATTCTGCATAAGATTTGCCCAGGCATTGCCCTGCCAGCAGTGACAAAAGTTTGGTATAGTAAGGTAGCATCTGGTCCTGCTGTGGCGGTCAGCCAAGAGAAGGCACCACCCCATGACTGGAGCAGAGGCTCAGACGCTCCCACAAGGTCCTCCTTTCTGGCTGTGTCAGAGCCACTTGTGTGGTGCTGAGTACTGTCTCACTGCAGAGTGGGCCTTGGGCAGGCGTTAGAAGCTGCTTTTGACCAGATGGTCCTTGGCTGCAGCCTTTAGATGGATGTCACTTACAGCTAAGCAGTTATAAATCTGCATAAACATTTTCAGCAATCCTGTTGAGTGGAAGCACCAAAATACAGGCAAGAGTGACTAGTGTCCTCACTCTTGCCACAGTGCCTTCCCTACAGTTTGGAACCCAATAGCCTCTCTGCCTAGAACGGGAATAATGCTGATGCTCAGCTGCACTGCTGCACTGCTGCTGTTAATCTGACAGGAGCAGAGAATTTGAGTCCGAATGGGCCAGCTTTTGTCTGAAGGTGCAAACCAGTGACGAGCAGTCAGATGCTCCCAGAGAATTGCCAGCCAGGGATCTGCTTTGTGTGGATTGTGTATTTGACATGCTGTTAGTAGTTACACTGAATGCCCTCAGAACAGCTTCCTTTTGCTTTCCTCTAGCATGTAATCACCATACCAAAGAGACTGAAGTGTCATTAGTTGATGGTTCTGTCAAGGCTGTCTAGTGATAAACAACCTCTGAGGCCTACAGTTTGGAACAGAAATAGGGGCAGGTGAGCAGGACAAAGGAACCTGTTAGGCTCCTGTGATCAGAGGTCTGTGTTGCTTTGAGCTCTTTGGTGTGTAGGAAAAGTCAGTGATGTCTAACTGGGGTTCCAGTTCTGTCTGCACCTCAGAGGTGTTTTGATTTGGGTTCACTGACATTCCACATCTCATGCATTCTCCCTCTTGCCATGCAGTGTCCAGAACTTAATCTCTGCATCAATGAAGGCAAAAATCACAGCATACGTCATTGCATTGGCTCTGCACATTAACAACTTCCAAATAGACCTCACTGTCCTGCAGAATGACATGAAGCTCCAAGAAAGCAGGTGAGTCGTGTTTGTTTGTACTTGCTGAGATATCCTGTGATCCTCCTACAAAGAGCCTTTGAGGGGAGAGCTCTGGAGCCTCTGGCACCTGGCTAGCACAGTAATACCTCTTAGTGAGTCCCTTTTGTTGTAATTGGACTGTCTTTCATAAATGTGTTGAAGCTTTATTTTGAAGCCCTGGTGTTCATAAAGGAGGGTGGGTTATACATCTCAAACTTTGAAAGGGCACTTGCTGCAGAGGGGTCCTCAGGTGCATCAGGAGGCTCTTCAGCTATTCTGCAGGAAAGGAAACAGAGGCAAGCAGCACCGAAATGGCCATCCAGGGCAGATTCCAGGACTAGACCTATCAACTGGACCCAGCTCTGTTTCTTGCCTGACAAATTACATCACTCTTCACCTTCCTGTCCACTGTGCCCCTTCTTCCTGCAGAGCTCCGGTCCCTGTTAGGTACTAGTCTGGGTATAAGTGCAGTTTTGCAGCTGACTGCAACAGGAAAACTAGAAACGGGTGTGGTGTTTTCTCACAGTTGCGCTGCAGGCATGTAGTTGCTGTTTACATGGAGGAATCCCTGGCCCCTGAAATTTACCCACTCTGAACTTGGCACCTAGGAGATTGTTTTTATTTCTGAAATACTGATGAACTTGGGGACTTTTCAGCAAAGCATCACAGGGAGAGGTTGTAGGCAGAACTGCTGGTTATAGTATTTGAAATAAGGATTTGCCAAATCAGGGTTAGTGAAGGTGAATAGGCAGAAAACAGCTTGTACAATAAACTTCAGGGCAAACAGCCCTTGCTGTGTTAGGTTTTGGAGGCAGTTGCTCCCTAGACTTTAATTTTCCATTGAAGAATGCTTAAGTGTCATGCACCTGCTGGTAGCTGCTAGACCTGCTTTTCCCAGCAGGTGTCAGTTGGAGTCTTCTACCAGCTCCTCTGGCTCTGGGAGTTCTTCCATTGCAGTTTGTGCTGTACTGTCTCTCTGGCCCCTGCGAAATAAATCAGCAATTGATCTGAACTGCTCGACCAGTCCACTGTGCTTGCTGGGAGGACTCCCAGCAAGCAGACATAAGCTCAGCAGGCAGCTTATTAATACTGTCTGGGATGGGGTCAGCTGGCCCTGTTAGTTGACTGTTCATCCATGCTCATTAGTATCTCTCACACCCTGTCCTGTTCTGTGGGCAATGGTGATACCAAGGAGATGTGCTTCTTAATTCAGTCACATTGGTGTTTCATAACAGGATTGCTTAGCCGTTGTGTGGTAGGGTATGAACAGTGGAGGGACACAAACCCTTCACTGCAACTGAGAAAAACATTGTGGACTATCCTAGGGTTTCTGGCTGAGGGATATGATATTAAGTTCTGCTAATAATTGGAAGTTATCAGAGCCCTATGTCACCTGTTGGTTTTGCAAGCTCCCTAGTCAGCCTTGATGGAATTATTGCTGATTTTGCCCCCAGTTATGCTCTTTATTCTTTGATGGGTAGTAGTGTGTTTAACAGCAGTGTTTGCTGTTGGTTTTCACCCATTTTTTCTTTTTTTTTCTTTTTTAAACTAAGCTTTAAGGAATCCACATTTTTTTTTGCACTTGACACCTAGCTTTTGTTCTTAACTGCTGTACTGGAGCTGGGAACACAGGGCATAGGATGCTGTTGAGAAAAGGGTGGAGCAGGCTGGGGCCTGTTGGAAAAATTGAGGAGAGCCACTTGATGGGATGATCCTTGCTTGGAGTGGGAGGTTTGACTGAAGAATCCTTCTCAACTGAATCTGTTTCTATTTCAAAGATAATAAAGTCAGCTGGGAGGATTCTGGGACTTACGTGTTCTCAGGACCCCAGCTGAGACTGCGACACCCATTTCCCTGATAGCTTCCCTTCAGATGCACTTTCTTTTCTCTGACAAGCCTCCAGGTGTGTTCTGGCTTGCGCCTTCTTGACCAAGCTCTTCACACTACACATCTCAGCCAAGCCCCTCTTCTTACATGTAAAGATGCTGAATTTTAGTGGCTGAGAGATGATGTTCTTGCTCTACTAGGTTCCATTCATTGTATTGCACATGGGAGATGAGTGCACTGGGAAGCAACCATGGGCTGCCAGCAGCAGCAGCTGAACACAAATAGTGACTGTTCTCTTTGTGGGGAAGTGGAACGCAGCGTTATTTTTTTCATAAGTCAGCTTGCCATTGAGTAAGGCAATGCGGGTTTATAATGCTCTCCGAGGTGGTTGTGCTCAGATCAGCATTTTAGCATCCCCAGGAAGGCTCTACCTTGTAGTTTTTGAAGACTTCCAGCTTCTCTCTCTACAGTATCCTTGAGATGCAGAGAAGCATCCTGCTTGCTGGTGCCTCCAGCTTCTCCCCTGAGGCAAAAGACTGTTGATCTTTTGTGCAGTGTCATGGTACAGGAGACATGTGCGCCCCACAGACACAGTGTCTTTCTGGTGTTTTCCAGGATGATGGACATTGCAAAGGCTATGCGGTTGAAGGTCTCCAAGGCAAAGGGGATGCCGGGACTTGAGAGTGATCACAGCCACAAGCTGGGCACTCTCTCTCTCCCCTTGCCTGTGCAGAAGGTATCGGGGAACCAACGGAAGCGCAAGAAAATGAACTGAAATGTCTGAGAGGTCTGAGCAGAGGTGCTCATTTCTCAACTGCTGTTCTGCACACAGAGGATCATGGGGATGCTTTTGTCTGTTGGATTTGGCTGTTCAGCATCAGCACATGACCCTGCTGAAACCCTGTCTCAAGGCTGGGTTGGAACAGATGTTCACCTCATTAAACTGTTTCTTTTTTCTATTTATGTAGAATAGCTATAATAAAACCTTTTTCTTTTTTCCTGTCTATATGAGTGGAGAAAGATATAGGTTGTGCTGGAGCAAAAGAACGCGGGTTGAAACTGCAGGTCCTCCACTGACTACTGTCTGTTTGGTTCTGGCAGTGACCTGTCAGCTTGTGGCGTGCTTTACCCCTTGTTCACACATGCAGAGTAGAAAGCATAGAAAGGGAGACACTAAGCAAAGCATTACGTACACACAACCTGTTGGCTCTTCGTGTGTTTGTTTCTGTAGAGCTTCAGTCTAATTCTGTGTTCAAAAAGTGTAAGGGTGCACCACAGAGTATTTCTGCTGCTTTTCCTATCCTGCCTTGCCTGGAGGAGGTAGAATTCTGCTGGCTCAGAGCCAGTGTCATCTTCAGAAAAGGTGATTAGTTTGAATCCACAGCTGTGGATTCCCAGTCTTTGGGAGAGAGACTTCTGGGCTAGTTTCTCTGCCTTTTCATTCTAGTCCTGGGTTGCTGGGCTGTAAGCCTCAGTGTCGGTGTTTACTAAGCAAGGTTGTAGGAATCTGGGGCTTGTGAAAAAATGAGGATCACCTCCAAGAGAAAAAGCTTATGTGAAACAGGAGCATGGGATGTCAAGAGCATGCTTCTCTTTGAGGTATCTTTGCTTCAGATAGTACTTTGGGTTTAGTACATCATTTTGGGATTTAAGGGTAATTCCGTATGCACCCTAATGACCCACTATTCACAGCTCTCATTAGAAGTGACACAAACATCCAGTTTTCTGGGTAGAGGATAATTAACACCATGGGAATTACAGGCTGCAGATAATCAACAGGAATGTTTTTATCACAGAATGGTTGAGGTTGGAAGGGACCCTGCTCAAGCAGGGCCACCTAGAGCCAGGTACTCAGGACTGTGTCCAGATGACTTTCATATGACTATCTCCAGTGATGGAAACTCCACAACCTCTTTGGGTAACTTGTGCCAGTGTGTGGTCAGCCTCACAAGTTAAAAAAAAAAAAAAAGTGTTTCCTGATATTCAGAGGGAGCCTTCTGTGTTTCAGTGTGTGTTCGTGGCCTCTGGTCCTGTCACTGGGCACCACTGCAAAGACTCCAGCTTGTCCTCTTGGCACCTTCCATTCAGCTATTTATAGACATGAATGAGCACCTCCTGAGCCTTTTCTGCTCCAGGCTGAGTGGTCCCAGCTCTCAGGCTTCTCTCACATGAGTGATGCTTCAGTCCCTTCATCATCTTAGTCTCCCTTCATTGGACTCTCTTCAGTATGTCCATGTCTTTCTTGTACTGGGGAGCCCAGAAGAAGACACAGCACTCTAGGCGTGGCCTTACCACTGCTGAGCAGCGGGAAAGGATCACCTCACTTGACCTGCTGGAGATGGTCCTCCTAATGCCACCCAGGACACCATTAGCCTCTGCTGCAAGGGCACATTTCTGGTTCATGTTCAACTTGGTGCCCACCAGGACCCCCAGATCCCTGTTTTCTGGTTGGGCAGCCTGCAGCATGTCCTGGTGCATGTACCTCCTCAGGTACAAGACTGCAATTCCCCATGTTGAACTTGGGAAGCCTCTGACTTACCCAGGCCTTGTTCTCAGGTCTTCAGTAGAGTGAATTTGTTCAGGGATCTGATCTGGCTGAAACCACTTTCTGTGTTTTTTTAAATTCTCATTAGGATCTGCTCTTCTGCATATCAGAACCAGCAGCTCTGACTTAGACTGGTATGAAGCACTATTCTGAGATAATTAGTTTATCTTCTTTATGTAATTCTATCTCATTGCTGCTGTGTTTGAGATGGTTGATATGGAGCGTGAGGAGGGGAGCAGATGTGGATCACTCTGACAATGCCATTGGTTTTGGGATTGAAAAATTAACTGCTCTTGCAAAGTTGCTTCTGTGTGCTAAGTTGAGCAGAGAAGTAGAAAGCAGAGGTGGTTGCCTGACCAACCAAACAAGAAGTGATGTTCTTTTCTATGATTTGGAGCAACTTGTAGCAGAGATGAGTATGTTAATTGCCTCTCTTGACATCACTGCTGTGTGCAGCAGGGCCTGTTCTGACCGAATCTGAGAGCAGCACCCCTGATTCAGGGAAAATGAGTGCTAATTTAGTCCAAATGGGACAATGACTCATCTGCAGTGTGTCTCACTGTTAGCACCTGCACCTTGGAGAGTAGCTATTTGCCTTCCCAATAACACAATAAGAGTTCTTCACTATAGGGAAAGGAGTGCTAAGGCAGGGATGTGGCAGTTGGGGAAGGGTGCCAGAGATCCCGTCCTGGGTCCAGAAAGATGCTCCCCAGCGCTGGACAGCCCCCATGGAAGCACGCAGGACAGGGCTGCAGGCAGGTCCTGTAGAGGGGACTCTTACCAGGTGTGAACTGCAGCAAGATGTAGGTAGCCTAGATACCCTGGTCAAGGACTCTCATCCCTGTTTCATCATGGAGAGGGGAGAGGAAGTAGATGGGCTGATCCCTGGGAGACAACAGGAAAGGCTGAAAGGAGAAATCCAGT